TATATATATATATATATATATATATATATATATATATATATATATATAATGTTATGTTTGGAAAGTAGTATTATATAGATAAATTAGGTTTTATTTTTCAAATGCGGTAGCACCACTTGGACAGCATCAAAGCCCTCCAAGTGCTTCCGAGGAATCAACCCTAGGACACTTCAGAGCCCACTCACTTCAGCGCCCACTAGGGGCGGTAGGGACCACGTTGGGAATGCTGTAGGTGAACGAATTCACTAATTTTACCGTTAAATATTTAGGTAATTGTGTCTCTATGTGATTTTAATTAAGTTAGCTATGTATATAAAATTATTAACAAAACTTTTTATTTTCTGTTGTGTTCGACGAGATGGTTTTATAAAAATAATTATTTGTTATGGAAGGCTGCAAAGTTGCTGTTTCACGCGAGTGCTTGTATCGAAACTTGAGCAAAAAGCTAAGATTGACCATGAGCGAAGGGAGTGGTGAACCACGCCAAAATAGATTCCTAAGCGTAGCGAGGGTTTCAAGATACGAGACGCAAAACAACTTTGCTGCCGAGCGACACACAACTTTTCACCTCTCTTTAGCGAGGAAAATGGTGAATGATAGAAAAATACTTGAAATAATAAAACATCAGTTTTTGTAATCAAAAGAAAAAGTTTACATTCGGATGCGTTCTGAATTTGCATCTTGTCAATTTTTAGTCTTGCTTGTACTTCTATAATTTTGTTTGAATAAGTGATTTTTGAAATTATTTTAGTTCTTCGACGAATGAATATAATTTAATAAACACAATTAGTTATCATTGTCAATTTAATGTCAACAATAATAAGAATAAAATATACCAACGGATTTATATTACATAAATAAGTAATATCGCGTTCAACTACGTGTATTTGTCATGCGTGTCATTTTTCTTTCATCGAAAAATGTAAGTGCATCACAGTCCGTCGTCAAGATCGAATTTCAAAAACCTTTTCCACGCCAGCGTGCATAAAACGCTTTTGCGCAGATTTCTAAACAGAAAGAAAGCCTTTCCGAGCTAGTGAGGTGAAAAAGTAATTTAGGTCAGTAATTAGAAATTAAAGAACTAGAAGTTCACAATATTGTAATTAGGTCGTCAGCTATACCGCTTTGAATGTTTAATATTTTGTATTTGATTTATTAGGCTGCATGTTTACGGTGCCGACATCATTGTTGGTATGTTATTTTCTAAGCGACGGCCAACGAATGTAGGCACTAAGTGTAATAAACAGAGAAATAATCTATTTAATCGTTAAATGAACAAAGCCAGTTCATAACTTAAATGAATCAACGTCTAATGGAGTTAGAGCCTTTGTAGTTATTCATTTGAAATTCTCAAAAGGATAAATACTTATGGTATTGAATTTCATTCAAGATTCGCTGGCAATCGGGAAACTTTACGACTGAGAAAAATGCTAGAAGTGAAATAATAATATTTTGTGTCTATATTTGATACATGTTGAAAGAAGCAACGAATGATCGCTCGCATTTTGTAGATTGAATTGGATTGCTCCAGTAGGAGGACTGCTGCTTCCTGTTCTTATTTTTTAGGTTACTTATTTATTTTAGTTAAACTTAATAAACATTCAAAAAGTATTTATGTTTTTTTATTAGCAGCGACATTTAATTACTACAGCGTTTTTTTTGTTGTTCTCTGCTCTGAGTGCTTGTTCACTTTTGTTTCGTTGGTGACATGCGACATTCCCTGTGTGCTATAGTTAGTTGACTATTACGTCTTCAACTGTTACGTATGTAACTGCCTCCGTGGCCGAACGGTTACCATGCCGGACTGCCACGCCAGGTTCCCAAACCCGCGACCTAGGGTTTCCCTAATGCGGGGCTATGTTGAGTGTGTGCGTTATTACTATTATTATTATTATATGTATTTTAGACTCTCGCCTCTCCCAGGACTAAAAGATTAATGTTGAATTTTTAAATGGGAGAGGCGGTATTTCCCGGCAATGACACAGTCGGAAAAAAAAGACACGTCCAACTACGCGATTTGTCGTACATTACTTATTTATGTAATATAAATCCGTTGGTATATTTTATTCTCATTATTATTATTATATATCTATTTTAGACTCTCGCCTCTCCCAAGGCCTACAAGATTAATTTTGAATTTTTAAATGGGAGAGGCGATATTATTATTATTACGCCTTGTATGGATTCACAAACCCTAATAGTTCCACTCATGTTACGTAGTGGGGACATGAGATCCACTAGTGGAATCAAGAGTAGAACCAACAGTCCGAAACGACTGGCAAAGGGAGCACTCTTTGTTTATTTCTGTCTGGATCCTTCTATACTCCAATTATACCTATGTGCGTAAATATCTGTGAGTTTGTCATTTCATGTAGCACATAATTTTAGTACCTAATTATAATTTATATTGTATATCTACATATATAATTTGTTTATAGATTTCATTCTTGTCAAGAAATATATTTCTTTAACTATGGTTAGCATTTTCATCAAGTTAGTTTTCAAATCATATCAATCAAATGTATTGTGTACGTACGTCTAGAAGGTCTTATATAACATTCTTGTGCCAGTACGTATTGCCAATTTTATGGCATATAATTGGCTTAATGAAATTAATTTGACAGTGTACTAGTTTTAATTACAAAATGTCACAAATCTTAGTTTTAATTTCAAGTCTTAATAATATCGTACAAGCCATTATTTTGTCGTAATTAATTATTATTCTGTGTTATTGTCATTTAAATAATCGTTTAAATCGTCAAAAGTTTTCGCGTGATATGCTATTAGACAAATCAGAAGACACGTCGAAGATACTATGATGTGCCACCACTACCTAGATCTATCTCTCAGTTTAGAAAAAAGGGCTTTCCTAAATTGGACCAACCGGGAATTTTTTAATTGTTTTTTATACCAAGTGACGGCACGAACTTGTCCACCAGGCGGTGGTGACATGCCTGTTCATAACAGTTGCAGATTCATTCAGAAGTCCAAATTACAAAGATCTGTGGGGCATTGCCCCTGCGCCTGTCACCCTGTGATATAAATTGACAAATCTCATGTGCTGTAATTTCACCAGCACCCTTACCCTTCAAAACGGGAACGCAGTAATGCTCACATTACCGCTCGGCTGCAGAATTAGGTAAGGTGACAGTACTTCCCTGGATCAACTCTTTCACAAGGAGCTCTACTGCTACGAAAAATAAATTCGGACCTTCCTCAGTTTTTTTCACACTCTTTAGATAAATGGAGCAGGCAATCTTTTTTAGGGCACTAGCGTAAAAACTTTGTCCATCAGTTACTTTTTACGTTTTCCACACTAAAAAAAGTGCGGGTGCAAAGATATCAACTAACGCTTTTTGTTGCTGCTTAACCTACCACTATACACTTCGTTTCTTTGCTCACACTTTGTCATGGAAATGTAGGATGTTGAGTTTACTTTGAATATGGTTATCTAAAAGTAAATGTTCAACAAAGTTGAAAACTAGGACATACCTAACCATTGTTATGAAGTAGAAGAACTTTCTAGCTCTTCTAAACTTGCTCAACTTTATGAAGTATGACGTAGAAGCAGCAGCAGCAAGGTCTTCGGTTTCTTGGAATAATTTCTAAACGTCAATTAGAACAATGTAAGTTAGATACGCCTTAGGGACAACTTTCAATAGGAACTAAGTTGTTAAAATATGTGCAATAAAAACAATATTTGTATTGAACATATTTTAAAAATAATTAGATAACATAACTGAAATTTAACCTGTTTCTTTATAAACAATTAATTGTACCTTAGTCTATTTTCAATCTAAAAGTAAATAAAATAAATCAAACAAACTATGTAGAAGAAATAATTTACAAAATCCATTTTTTCCCAATAATTCCATGTACACTGTTCCACGTGGAATTTAAAATGGTTCATATTCCTTGTAATTTTAAACTAGATTTACACCTGACTTTTCACCCTCATATTACGTTCTTGTACTGGATCCATGTTTAGTTTCGTTTTGCTTTTGTAACCGGATTTCTTCCTATATTCCCAGTAGTTCTATATACTCAAAATAAACGGATTTTTTAATTTTTTACGTAGTGTGCTTGATTTATTTTAGTAGCTATAAAAATCGAGTGGGAGGGACTAGGCACCGATGACGTTTCAAAGTGATTTTGTGATCCTATTGAACATTTTTTGAATTTTGATTTTTTTAATATTAACGGTAGGAATGTCTAATGCAACTGTTCTAAAAAGAAACCAACATATGTTTCTCTGTTTTTGGCTTCTTTGTAAATTTTCAAAGTTGTATATTTTTAGTAATACCCTTACCTATTTCTGCCGCCAAGCAGCAATGTGAGCATAAACTGTGTTACAAGGACTGGTAAGATGACAGGCAAATGGGACTTATCAGCTTATGTGTTGTAGTGACGGGCCCAGTGGCAGTGCCCCTCAGAACTTTGCGATTTGTAGCTCTGAGTGGCACTGCAACTGTTATGGACAGGCGCGTCGCTTATCGCCAGGCGCACGTCTTGTTCGTCACGGTAATTGGCATCAAAAAAAGTAATGATTCTCTTGAGTTTTGCTTGGGGTTTCATGTCATTTTGCAATTGAAGAAGATGAATCTTTTTCTAAAATTAGGGCAAACTGGCGAATCGTTGGTGGTCTCATCTTACAATTAAGTACTGTTTATTTTGTTGTGGCAGCTCTTCAATGAGTTGGTCGTTCTATGTTGCTCTCCAAAAGAACAATACGATTTTATGAAGTTATCTTTCATCTAATTTCATCTGTGTGTGTGGTATATGTAGGGGGAAGCGGGCACATTCATACACTGCATTATCTTCATACCTTTAAACCTAATATTAGTGATAATACTAAAACGTGCCTTTGTACGTGT